AAAATAAATAGGGAGATATTTATAGTCATATTTACTAGGTACAATGAAATTCTTATTTTGTTATCTCCTCACAAGAAAGACGGAACAGACAATATGTTACAAAGACATTAAAATATAAAGAATATATACAAGAATATACAGCAGAGTACAAGACAAAGTATAAAAGAATATGCAAATAAATATGCAATATGTAATGCATATGTTGTTTTATTAAAGCAATATATCTGCATATTGGTTATTGGATTCTTAAACATTTATGCATTTGGCAAATGCTTTTATATAAAATTACTGCATATAAAAATGTACATGTTATAAGTTCATGCATTCCCTGGGAATCAAACCCATGACCTTGGTGTTGCTGACATGTTGTACTGTTTGATCTTTAAGAATGCATAATTAATTGACACATTAATAATTTGTTAATTATAACATCATTAATAAGTAATGGATTAAATGATTTAAATAATTATTTAATAATTAATTAATTATGAAGGTAATTGATATTGGTATTAAATTCACATTCACAATATCAGTTAATCTATACTCAGAACTTTATGAAATCTCTGAGTATAGATATTGTGAATATATAATTCACACACACACACACACACACACCATGCACAAACACACAAAATATTTTCTACAATATTTAGCAAAAGGATTATTAATGATAAAATATTTTGCATGCATCACTAATGTTTCCATAGAAATATATGAGTAATGGATCATTTCTCAGACGATGTTAAATGCTCAGAGTAGAATTACAGTAATTACTTCCTAACCTTATACTCTTCTGTAATCCACTGTTCATTATCCTAAAGCATGGCTTGGATTTATGAGACAGCAATAGCCTATTCTTGTTGTTAATAGGATTTTATGTATTATTTTCTTTAGCCTTTTAGATCAGATCCCTGACATGTTTGCTGACACCAACGAGAGTGAGACGGTTTTCGCTCCGGTCATCCAAGCTGGTGTGGAGGCACTGAAGGTAAAAACAAATCTACACTATTTACCAATCACTGACATCAGTCTGTCTGGAATGTCCCTTTGTAATCGTACTTGCATTTTTAGCCTCATCCCTTCGTTAACATCGTTTAACAAAAGTGCACTTTAATTCTGCAAGCAGGCTTTGTTTGATAAACACGCAGTTGTTTCTAGGGCCGTTGTTTGAATTCACAGGCCTGGGACGACGTTCCTGCTTAGTATTAGTATTACTGGCGCATTACTGGCGACAGCGCTGGTTGTTTCGTAACTTCTGTCTTTGACTCTTTAAGGAGTGTTTAATGACACTTTCAGTCCGTGACCTTAAATTTTGGGTCATTGCTTTTTCATCAAATATTTTAAATCAAATACTCTTAACATATCCAGACTTGTCAGATAAAACCATCTGACAGTTTTATGATTGTATATATTTTTTCTCTCATCAGGCAGCTGAATGCAGTGGCAAACTCTTCATCTTTCATTCGTCCATCCCAACGGCAGAGGCTCCAGGAAAACTCAAAAACAGAGATGACAGAAAATTAGTGGGTACAGAAAAGGAGAAGGTAAATATTTATTTTATTTAATTAAGTTTTGGGGAAAAAGGCCTTAAAATGTCTTAATTCATCCTTCCAGAAATTAAGGGCCTAAAAAGGCCCTTTAGAAAGTCTTAACTTCATAAAATCTTTGCATTAAATGTTGCTTGCAAAAAAAAAAAAATATATATCTTCCTCACTTTTTTTAATTTTATTTTCCAGTACAAATATCTAAACATCCTTAAATAATATACATTTGCTTTAGATGCATAATGCAGATATGAAGTCTTGTTTTCTGAGAAATTAAACTAAATTGAGTTTATGCTTAAAACAAGAACAAATATCTGTCAATAGGGTATGAAAACTTTTTTTTCCTTTGAATTAAGTTGTTTTTCCTTTTAACCAATAACTCACTTAATTTTGATCAATTTCACAGAAAACAAGACTTTTTGTCTTGTCATTTTGCTTATCAAGTAAATGTATCTTGATTTAAGAATCTTTAGATATTTGCACTGGGAAAAGTTTTTCATATTGTATTGGTTGGGAGAAGAGCTATTCAAGCCATACGTTTTTTTTTTTTAATGTAAAATGCAATTAAAGTATTGTAAAATGAATCAAAGTAATGGATATCTGTTGGAAATTGTATTTTGCTTTACATTTGGAGACCATCAATTTATTTCTTAAATTTTCTTTACTTGGTCTTAAAAAGTCTTACATTTACCTTCATAAAATGTGCAGAAATCCTGAAAATAGTATTAAACAAGTCAAGCCAAATGTATTTGTATAAGTGCTTTTCACAATACACATTATTTTAAAGCAGCTTTACAAGTTCGTACTGTTATGGCGTTAATGCTTTAAACAAAAATAAACTGAATGGTTGTGTGTGTGTGTGTGTGTCTGTGTGTGTGTCTCTGTCTCTCTCTCTCTGTGTGTTTGTGTCTGTGTGTGTCTCTCTCTCTCTGTGTGTGTGTGTCTGTGTCTGTGTGTGTCTCTCTCTCTCTCTGTGTGTGTCTGTGTGTGTGTGCATAAGTGTGTGTGTCTCTCTCTCTGTGTGTGTGTCTGTCTGTGTGTGTGTCTCTGTCTCTCTCTCTGTGTGTCTGTGTGTGTGTGTGTCGGTGTGTGTGTGTGTGTGTGTCTCTCTGTCTCTGTGTGTGTCTGTCTGTGTGTGTGTGTCTCTCTCTCTCTCTCTCTCTGTGTGTGTGTGTCTCTCTCTGTGTGTGTCTGTCTGTGTGTCTCTCTCTCTCTCCGTGTGTGTGTGTGTGTCTGTGTCTGTGTGTGTGTGTGTCTCTCTCTCTGTGTGTGTGTGTGTGTGTGTGTGTGTCTCTGTGTCTGTGTTTGTTTGTGTGTGTGTGTGTGTGTGTCTCTCTTTCTCTGTGTGTGTCTGTCTGTGTGTGTGTGTCTCTCTCTGTGTGTGTCTGTCTGTGTGTGTGTGTGTCTCTTTCTCTGTGTGTGTCTGTGTCTGTGTGTGTGTGTGTCTCTCTTTCTGTGTGTGTATCTCTGTGTGTGTGTGTGTGTGTGTGTCTCTGTGTGTGTGTGTCTCTCTCTGTGTGTGTCTGTCTGTGTGTGTGTGTGTGTCTCTTTCTCTGTGTGTGTCTGTGTCTGTGTGTGTTGTCAGACTCTGTTCCAGCCTCAGCGGGGTGTGTATGAGCAGCTGACTAAAGACTGTGTGGCACAAGGCTGTTGTGTCGATCTCTTCCTGTTTCCCAACCAGTATGTGGATATAGCCACCATGGGCGATGTGCCGTCACACACCAGCGGCTCCATCTACAAGTACAGCAACTTCCAGGTACACCATAACATGCACATAATGTTATGTATGAATAAAATAATAATTGTTACTTTAATACGTAAGTAATGGGTGGAGTCACGTAGCGATGACGAAGTGATTTGATCGAATAATACAAGTGCAATGTGAGCATTAAAGACGCAAGTTCTTTTGTTCCTGAATGGTTATTTCTGACTATTCTTTAGTGTTTAATAAGTAGAAAAGGGAAAGACATGACACATAATGAAACACAGGTGCTGTGAACATTGTTCAAAATAAAGATGAACTCTTTTGTATTACTGCTCTCTTGTGGTCAGACCTCAAACCTTTATTTTTCTCTTTTGAGGTGGAGGTTAACGGTCCGCAGTTTATCAGTGACCTCAGGAGAGATGTGGAGAAGTCCATCGGATTCGACGCCATCATGCGTGTCCGTACCGGCACAGGTAATAACAAACTAGAGAGAAGTACATGAACAATGTGTAAAGTTAATCATACTATATATGTAAAGATCTGTGGTCAGATTTTATTTTATTTTAATCTTTTTGATAGAAATTAATACTTTTATTTAATAAGGATGCATTGAATTGGCATTGGCACCAAATTTTCCCCAATAAATAGAAATGGACAAATTTTCTCCCTCATTATTTGAACTTCTTGAACTGTTCCGCTGTCCTCAATTATTTAGCGCTCTGTTTGTTTTTAGGTTGACAAAAAGCTTTAAAAGTAACATTTTTAGAGAGCAAGGTAAGAGGGAAGTAGCAAAACATTTAATATTCGACCACTGTTTTAAGATAGAAATGTTAAATGACCGACAGTAATATCCAGTGATGCAAACTTCTTGACTTTTTTCTCGAATATGGCCATTTTTAACTGAATATGTTGTATCATTTATGTGCTTCATGTAGGCTAATTCCTAACTGAATGTGACGACAAGAAACATTTTGTGTTTTCAACATGTTAGGCATACAAATAAAAGTGCATGTGTGCATATTTTAAAATATTACTTGCAAATAGTTAAAAATGTTTACTTTCAAACTAGAATTAGACTTAGAATGTTTTATTTAAATAAATAAATAAATAAACATTGGCCCCTCCAATGTTCAAGAAATGGTTACAGCCTTATAATGTTGCTAATAATAATAACAATAATAATAATAATAAGTGTTACAAAAGATTTCTATTTCAAAAATGTTGTTCTTTTAAACATTCTATTTATCAAAGAATCATGAAAAAAAAGTGTCATGGTTTTCTCAAAAGTATTAAGTAGCAATGACATTGTTTTCAACACTGATAACATGTTGTCATAATATATAAGGCCTAATATTACCTATTTTGATGATGCAGAGTTAAAAATATCAATAAAAATGTTCCATCCCGTGCAGTTTTTCCCCACAAAATGTTCAAATTATATCAACTATATGTGTCAGCTTTAATGCACTCATCAAAGTAACACAAGCAGTCAAATGTCAAACGTATTGTTTTTAATGACAGAAAGAAGTATTCAAAATGTAACTGAAGTGAAAATCAAAATTAGGCATAAAATAATGTCTTCAGAATCATTCGTACATGTAAAAAAAATGGCTGAGAATTGAATGAATAGATGTAATCTGGCTCGGAGGAAGACAAAAATCATGTCTTTGTGGCAGTTTTTCTGCTTAGTAAGGGATAATACAAGACTGCATCTTACAAATGGTTGTTGAAGGCAAAAATGCATGAAATGCACATATTTTGCGAGAAAGTGATGTGCTCGAGCAAAACTGGCACTATTTTTGGAATCAAGAACCCCGACATTAGTAAAAAAAAAAAAAATGTATTGGATGCCTGAAAATGTCTGTTTTTAATGAATGGCTGTTTGATCAACTAAATGTAGCCTTGAGCATAAGAAACGTCTTTCAAAAACATTAAGAAACGTTTGAGTGGTAATGTATCTATGGCATACGCTTTTCCTAACATCTGCATGATCCTCGTCATTCAAGGCTTCAGGGCGACAGATTTCTTTGGTGCCATATACATGAACAACACTACAGATGTGGAAATGGCAGCAGTGGACTGTGACAAGGCCGTGACGGTCGAGTTTAAACATGACGACACACTCAGCGAGGAGTCTGGAGCTGTGATGCAGGTCAGGCTTCACGTATGACACTGAGCCCTGAGACGATCACAAGACTGGCAAAAATACTAAAAACAGTCATTGGGAATACTTAATGCAACAAAACTGGTCAAGACACTCTTGACAGTCAAAATGTGTTTTATTGCAAAACTGTTTGGCATCATCATTAACATCAATAACAACGTTTGATGCATAGAATTGTTCAAGTGCATCTGAATCCTCATCGAGCCGTTTTGATGTGATGCTCTTTGAATTAACTTGCTGTCAAGAGCAACACAAGTGAGTTTGCTTCCTCTGGTTTCCCAGTGTGCTCTGCTCTACACCACCATCGGTGGACAGAGGAGGCTGCGGATTCACAACCTCAGTCTGAACTGCAGCTCTCAGCTGTCTGAACTCTACAAAAGCTGCGAGACAGACGCCCTCATCAACTTCTTCGCCAAGTCAGGTGACCGCCTTAACAACTCTTACAGGAATGTAAATGAAAACATCATGCAGTTGTTACAGATTTACTCCAAGCTGTAACATAATGCTAGATTTTAAAATGTACCAATCTGTAAAACACTTGCTTTCTAGTAGTATTTTTTTCGTTCTGACACTATCTGATTATTTGTTTATTTTTTATACTGGTTTTATAGTGAAACAAAGCGTACAGTCTTTTCCAGTTATGTGCTTATTTTAATTTCATTTTTTAAAAATATATATATTTTTTATTTATCTTTATTTTTTTCTCAGTTTTCTAATCACCTAATATTTATATTTTATTTTATTTTACCTTTTTCATTTTTTTTTGTTAGTTAACAATAACAACACAGCTGTGCAGAAACAATTTTCTTGTCATTTTTATAAATTTATTACCTTTATTTTTTGACTTTTTTTTTCTTCTACACCCTGTTTCCCTTATTCATATTTTAATTATATGAAATAGATTCATGCTTTCTGGAAGTATTTTTCCTTTTTTTGCCACCAAAAATTCTTCACAGGCACGTTGTTTATATATAATTTATTTATTATTAATGTATTAGTTATTTATTTATCTATTTCTTATTTATTTATTTATTCATTTGTTTATTAATTAATTAATTATTTATTTATCTATTTCTTAATTATTTATTTATTCATTTGTTTATTAATTAATTAGTTATTTATTTATTCATTTATTATTTATTTATTCATTTATTATTTATTTATACAGATTTGTTAGTTTTTATAAAATAGTCAGATTTGTTTTATAGTGGATACTCCAAGGATAATGCATTTAAAAATGTATCATGAGCTCATGGCTTACAGTCATTGATTGTGGTGGATGCTGTTATCCTGCAGCGTATCGGGCCATGCTCAACCAGCCACTGAAGACAGTGAGGGAAATCCTGGTTAACCAGATGGCTCACATGCTGGCCTGCTACAGGAAGAGCTGCGCCAGTCCCTCAGCAGCCAGCCAGGTCAGTGACACACTTCACATTCATGTTCATATTAAGTTTACATCCTTATAAAAACACCTTCTCCCTTTAGTGATGCTTACATAGCATGTGCAAACTCATTGACAGTTATAATGCAGCCATGTTATGTTAGTATCATTTATATACTATTATAGAATATATTAATATTTTGAATTAGCTTTTATTTTCAGAATTTCAATTTTGTTTTAGTTTTAGATTTATATTTAGCTTTCATTTTAGTTTTAGTAATTTTAGTACTTAAAAGAAAATTAGAAATGATGCCTTGGCAACGAACTAACTAAAATAAGTTTAAGTTTGTTTTGAATATATATATATATATATATATATATATATTAAAATGTATCATGAGCTCATGGCTTACAGTCATTGATTGTGGTGGATGCTGTTATCCTGCAGCGTATCGGGCCATGCTCAACCAGCCACTGAAGACAGTGAGGGAAATCCTGGTTAACCAGATGGCTCACATGCTGGCCTGCTACAGGAAGAGCTGCGCCAGTCCCTCAGCAGCCAGCCAGGTCAGTGACACACTTCACATTCATGTTCATATTAAGTTTACATCCTTATAAAAACACCTTCTCCCTTTAGTGATGCTTACATAGCATGTGCAAACTCATTGACAGTTATAATGCAGCCATGTTATGTTAGTATCATTTATATACTATTATAGAATATATTAATATTTTGAATTAGCTTTTATTTTCAGAATTTCAATTTTGTTTTAGTTTTAGATTTATATTTAGCTTTCATTTTAGTTTTAGTAATTTTAGTACTTAAAAGAAAATTAGAAATGATGCCTTGGCAACGAACTAACTAAAATAAGTTTAAGTTTGTTTTGAATATATATATATATATATATATATATATATTAACAAAATGTTAGTTAGTTACCAATAACAACACTGCTATGTAGAAACCATTTTTTCTGTATTTTTTATATCTTTATTTTTATACCTTTATTTTTCTTCTGCACCCTGTCTATTCATATTTTAATTATAATAAATAGATTCACATCATTATCTCTGAACTGCACTGTAAGAAAAATGGATAATGTCCTGGCAGAAAATTACCAGAACCTTTTTTCATTAAGTTTATGGACATTTCCTTAAACACTAAAACACAACACAATGCAAATGTGTAATTCAAAATGCGGGTAAAACACCTGTGAAAATTTTTGAAATATTAACTGTACATTGTGCCATATTTTTACAGACTTTTACTAAATTGTATAACTCGGATTTGTGTAAACTGACGGCTCTTCATGAACATTTTACCCTACAGCTGATCCTGCCTGATGCCATGAAGGTGTTTCCCGTCTACATGAACAGTCTGTTGAAGACTGCGACTCTAGTGGGCAGCACTGAGCTCTCCACAGATGACCGGGCCTTCCACAGACTCCTGGTCAATGCCATGGGAGTGGAGGAAACACAGGTCCTGCTCTACCCACGCCTCATCCCGCTGGTCAGTTACACACACACACACACACACACACAACATCTATCATTTCTCTCATTGACATCTAACCCTGAGCACTAGAGTTCATGCGTTTGCTCTCTCTCTCTCTCTCTCTCTTTGAAAGATTGAACAAAGGTCTAGTGATTTATGTGTGTTTTCTGACTTTGGTCAAATCTAGAGTATTGATTGACTTTAATTATTATAGAACTATGAAAGATCTTTTCACGTTTGAACAAATTTGGTGTAGTCATGGCGCTTTGTGCACATTATCCGAAGATGTTTTGGCGTTTTCCTTTTAATCCCATGGTGTTCTGTTTTCTTTAATGTGTTTGCACAAAAGACTTAAAAACAATGCATACAGCAGAGTTTTTGAGTATTTGTAAATAAAGCTTTTTTCAAAATCAAAATCTCTCTCTCTCTCTGTCTGTCTGTCTCTCTCTCTCTCTCTCTCTGTCTCTCTCTCTCTGTATCTCTGTCTGTCTCTCTCTCAGCACACTATGGATGTGTCCAGCGAGGTGATCCCGGCTCCAGTGCGCTGCTCTGAGGAGCGGCTCAGCGAGTCCGGCATGTTTCTGCTGGAAAACGGGCTCTCTGTGTTCCTCTGGCTGGGACAGGCCTGTCCACCCGACCTCATCCAGAACCTCTTCAGTGTGCCCTCTCTCGGCCACCTGCCCTCAGAAGGGGTATGACACACACTGCTTTTATAACTAAATTTTTATTATACAGTAACTGAAATACAGGACTGAAAAAAAGGGTGTAGAAAAAAATCTTCACTCAGAAATTGCTAGTAAATTTGACGGTTACAAAGAAATGATAAGTAACACTTTTAATTAAACGTGCAATTTTGAAGTAGAAAGACTGAAATAGTTTTTTCTTGCAAAACATACAAAAAAAAAACTTCATTTCATTTTAGAGCTTAGAGAAATATATATATTTTTTACATGTATGTGAGAAATCAGTAATTACATTTTTCTGATTTTCTTATTACTTTTCTCATTTTTCCAAATATTTGTCCAGTTTTGTCTTAATTTTTCACTGCATCTGAAATCACCATAACAATTTAGGTGAGAAATTGGACTTTGAAATATGAATATAGATTTCAGAATTAGTCTTTATACTCAAATGGCATGAACTCTACAATTCTGTGTAGAATCTGATGATCTAAAGAGCATTTTGAGCTTCACTGACAGCAAGAACATCTGACCGTTAGCAAAAGTGTGACATAATTACAAATGTGCTTGTTTGATAAGGGACCCAGAAATAGTGCAGCTTCTTATTTATTTTTATTATTTTTTTCAATTCACCTTACATCATAATATGTCCTTATTTAAAATTTAAAATTTATTTCCAAATTTTAATTGGATTTTTAATCCCAGATTTTCTTGGAACTAAACTGTTTTAAAAAGTTTTACAGCTAAAAAAAAATATTATCTTATATATTATTTTTATGATTATTGTACATTATGCCACATCCATCTAGATGAGGGTCAGAATAACTTTTTTTCACTTGGATAACATTGACAAATGTATCAATCAATCAAATAAACAAAAAAAAATTGGTAACAATATCAACATCAATTTTTAAGCAGTACAGTACCTGGATTGGAATTGGATTAGATCTGATCCAGGTTTGGCTTTGAAGGATGGTATTATTCCTCTCTGTTCTATTGATCTCACTGTTCGTGTTGCTTTAATCAAGGACCTGTTTATTCAGTTCTTCTCATTATGTGAATAACATCAGAACTGCAGTGATAACTCTAGCGTTATAATTGTCTTTCAGCAGATGTCATTACCTGTGCTGGATAATGCTCATTCCAGGAAGATCCATTCAATCATCTCCAGCATTTCACAGCAGAGGGCCACATCCATGAAGGTACGGCTCACCCTCACCACCTCCTCTCTGTATCTGTCTCTGTCTTTTGTTCATTATGAAGAGGCTTGAATAATTACTAATGGTGTTAATGTGTTTGTGTGTCACAGTGCTTGTGAGGTACTATCTATCTATCTATCTGTCTGTCTGTCTGTCTTATCCATCTCTGTCTGTCTATCTGTGTCGATCTATCTGTCTGTCTGTCTGTCTGTCTGTCTATATCTATCTATCTGTCTGTCTATCTGTCTATCTATCTATCTATCTATATATCTGTCTGTCTGTCTGTCTGTCTGTCTGTCACATTTATACAAATTCTTTTATTCTGCACGGACACATCAAATTGATTGATAAATCAATAAATTGTAATAATATTGTACAAAATATTTCCATTTCAAACCAATGACGTTCTTTTAAACTATGTATCAAAAGAAAAATCCTCAAAAAATGCATCACAGATTCCCCATATTAAGCAGCATCACTGTTTTCAAAATTGATAATTGGAAATGTTTCTTGAGCAGCAAATCAGCATATTAGAATGATTTCTGAAGGATCACGTGACACTGAAGACTGGAGTAATGATGCTGAGAATTCAGCTTTGTATCACAGGAATAAATTACATTTTAAAATATATTTTGAATTGTAATAATATTTTACAGTATTGATGTTTTACTGTATTTTGATCAAATAAATGCAGCCTCGGTGAGATCGTATCGATCCCAAACTTTTTTCTTCACTTGCTATCACTTGCCTGAACGCTCCTCTTTCTCTGTCCTGACTGATCTCAGGTCAGCAGTGTGATTGATGTGTGTCTCTCTCTGTGCAGCTGCTGATAGTGAAGCAGAAGGACCAATCAGAGATGTTGTTCCGTCAGCACCTGGTGGAGGACAAGGGTCTTCATGGAGGAGCGTCCTACATGGACTTCCTGTGCTACGTCCACCGTGAGATCAGGCAGCTACTTACTTAACACACACACACACAGACAGAGTTAAGTGTGTTACAGCACACAGCCCTCTTCTCATATAACCTCTACAGCTGCCTATGATATACGACCAAACTCTCTTTCTGCAGTGAGAACTTTCTGCTTTGTTCCTCAGTGTTTGACATGAGGGATGCTGGTAAATGGGTGTTTAGATTGAACACCATAAAATGTGCCACATCTCCCTGTTCTGAGGAGCGATTATATTGAGATCGTCTGAATGATTTTCTTAAATCATTCCCCCAGATTACATTTACCAAAGGGAAACATTTCTTTGAATCCTTAATGCAGCATAATAAAAAAGAAAAAAAAAATGGGCTCATAATGTCTGGAGTGCAAAATAGTGTTTTCAGATGAAAAATCTGTGCAGTGTCTATTAAATTAATAGACTGATTTGTGACTGGATATATACGGTACAAAACATGCTATTTTTCTTTTTTTGACTTCAGGGATGAAAACATCACACAAAACTGAATTCTAGTCATGTACATCGCTTTGTCTGCTATCCCAATTTTTTTCATTTTTTTACTCCGTTATTTTACACATCGTGTTTCGTTTTGCTTGTATGTTTCCAATACTTCAAAATGTGTAAAGGGATGCCAATGCTTTCCAACATCATGCCAGTGATTTTCGCAAGATGAACACTAGATATTCAGCTAGTTAAAAGTTTAACTATTAGACCTTCAAAGAAAACATATCTTTTTTTTTTTTTTAAACCAAAATAATTGAACATTGATTAAAAGTGGAATGTCCCTTTTATTTTGTTGCAGTTAATGTCAGTCATTATTTGGTATTCTTAACTTCATACAGTTTTGCTCTTTGCAACATTTCCAATCTGATATGTTTTATAACATGAGCAATTATTATACTAAATTTGCCTTATATTTTCTGACTTTTAATGGTACATTGCTGGACCAATACTGTATATTTTCTTACAGTTTGAGATGGGTTTTAAGAACTCGTAAGCAACTACACCTCAGGTCACATGCATCTAGCCTTTGTACCTGTTCATTAGTGCTTTGGAACCGACACATATGTGGTTCTTCGTATTGAACACAGAAAGGATTCATTTCTGGAAGCAGAAGGCAGCCTGTCATGTACATTTCAGTATAAAGCCTTTATACAGCTGTTTTTGAATAAAGGTGTAGTCCCTGTTGACCTTGTAAGTGTATTTGTTTTGTGTGTATTTTGTGTGCTCTCATAGGCCACGTACACACTGCAGCTAAATTCGGTTGTCAGTTCACCTTTTAGTGCTTAATCCTGTTCTGCACACACACAGTTCAGTCATTTACAGGAGTGACAACCGCAATCTACAACCCAGTTAACTCCCGAAAAATTCAGATAGGGACAATCAAATTTACAAAAATTCAACACCGTGTACTGAACTGAACAACCATATGAACAACTAGTTGTTGGTGAGGTATTTAAACGTGTATCAGTATGGAAGGCCGATGGGGCCAAAAGTCTTAAAGCGGAAAACATGAAATTTGACTGTCAACACACACTGTTCGTCCGTGTTAACAAGCCAATTTTGTATGTGTAAACAAACAAGCACATTCTGCCCATGTTAAGGCATCAGGTTTCTTTAGTATGTGTAAAGATGCACAGTTTTACTGCATTAAGACAAATTTGAACGTGCCTCTCAACGTGCATATTCTGGCCATGTTCAATCGTGTAATACTTTTTTAAAGCAGAATTACTTCTAGATTTACTTGCATGTTAATCCTTTCTTTAGTTCACTGTGGCATTGCTTTACTGATATCTACTGTGCTAGAGTAAATTAATTTAATTAATTTTCCAATGTAAATTAAGACCTTTCTACCTGAGAAAGAACGTGGAACTAAACAACTACAAAGGACATTACAAAACATGACATAAGACTGACATCGCACACAATGTACAGATGCATTATCCCTCATGACGTGGTCAAATTTCATGGGTTCCGTTTGAAAGACTTTTGGCACCGTCAGTTTTCCATATATCAGATTTGTGTCTCCTCAGTATGTGCGGTGCAAGAAATCACAGTGAACAAGGTAAGTCTCGTGTTGCCAGATCTTTCTATAAAAAAAAACCAACAACATGCCCATAATAAATTTAAATCCAAACACTTTATCTTGGAAATATTGCGAGCTAAGCCCAAAGACACATCGTTTATAATAATTGGACATAACAACACTTCAAGAGTGCACTCTGCGAAAGCAGCCTTCCAAACATAAACAAAACATGATAGTTTAGTTAAAATCGCTGAACTTAATGAGTCTTTGGTCGCTGTAATATTACCTTGGTCAAAAATAGTGGATACCAAATGCTAAAGACACCAAAATGTTGCTAAGGTTACCACACTGTCAATTAGCGCAATTTGTAATAATAATAATACAAAAAAAAAAAACTTTAATTTAAAAATTATTTTACTTAACTTCGTTTCTTTAATAAACTTAATGTTGAATGTTGTGATTTGTGAAAATTATGTGATCTAGGATCTTTATATAGTTTGCGCCATTGTAAAAATGCGAACGGGGTGGCCAACATCGGTCCTGGAGAGCCACAGTCCTGCAGTTTCGCTCCAGAATTTGCGACCAGAATATTTCTACGGACACCGCAACGATAGTAATATATGGAAGCCCGTTTCCGCCACTGAATAAAAAATAAAAAAGGTAATTGCGACTTTATCTCACAATTCAGACTATTTTTCTCATAATTGTGTGATTAAAAACGTGCAATTCTGACTTTTTTTGTCTCAGAATTGCTTGATATAAACTCACAACTGCGGGTTAAAATCATAATTGTGAAATATAAACTTGCAATTCTGAGAAATAAAGTCAGAATTGCGTGATATAAACTGCGAGTTTATAGCTCATATTTCTGTGAAAAAAAAGTCAGATTTGTGAGATAAAAAGTCACAATAACCTTCTTTTATTTTTTATTCAGTGGCGGAAACAGGCTTCCATAGTAATATGACGACGTGCTCTTTAACAAAATAAAATAAAACATTCTACACATAATACATCCAAAATGTAAAAATGTTATTTACTTCACTTTCACGCGTTCACGTGATACGAATTGGCAGGTCAGATTCGCCTCATTTTCATCCGTGTTAAATTCAGTATGACGTCTAATCTGAGTGAAGGTCTTTTGACTGCTATATTTAAATGCGACTGCCACTTCTGAAACTCCCCAGTGTGTAGGCCTACTATATGTGGCCAAAGTGACTTTCATTACCAGTGATCTGACATTCAATGAAGGAGCCATGAAACATACATTCTGAGCGGTTTATTGACTCTATGTTACAAAATGCACTCATCTAGTTCCACAGAGAAGCATGGGATATGCACACAGAGCGCTAGATCAGCTCCAGTCAGCTCTTCCCAATCCCATCACTAAAGGCCGTTCGCTCAAGCCTTCTTCACTCTCTACACATGCAGCTGTCAGGCTCTCACGCTGCTCGCAAGAAATGTTGCATCATCAGAACGTCAATGGGAAACCTCAAATACAGCATGACATAGCATTGTTTTCAGAAATGGACTAAAAAAGGATCACATCCTATACTGTAACTCAATTACAATGAAAACAGACAGAAAGTACAGGCTGTTTGGGACGAGTGCTAACAAAGAAAGGCACTGGTTTCTAGAGTAGGGAAAAGCTCATGCACTCTTCTCCTGGATAAGCTCATGTGAATCAGGCATGCAGGTTGCAAAACTAAGAAAAGTAAATTGAAAGACAATCAAGTGTTCCGTACTGTTAAGTACAGTATTATCTAGAACCCATAACGATAAACATTATTTGCATAATCTGAATAAATAAACAAAAAGAAAGATCTTAAAATAAAACAGCGGGAAAATGCAACAAACTGCTTGTTTACACTTTATGAAATATCTACACACATTTGAAATACAAATTGATGTATTAATTCTATTAAATCTGATGTCTGGACCGGCCTGTATATTTATACACAGTTATAAAACTCGAATTACTTCATATCTCTCTCGTTCTCTAGTCTACAGGTTAAGACTTTGAAAGCTCACTTGTCAAGCTTTAAAGGGGTCATAGGATGCCCATTTTCCACAAGTTGATATGATTAATCATATGACCCCTTTAAATGTTAATGAGCTCTGCTGACCCCGCCCCCCTCTCTTCCGAGCTGCTATCAGGGAGACTGTTTACTTTCGCCGCATTCATCATGAAACTTGCTAATTAGCACATTATTAGGAAAGGCGATTTGCGAAGATTCATTACGAAACCTTATACTCACTTCTTCTGTAGATGAGACTGGATCTGAGGGACTGTTTACTTTAGCCGCATTCATCGTGAAACTTGCTAATTAGCACATTATTAGGAAAGGCGATTTGCAAAGATTCATTACAAAACATTATACTCACTTCTTCTGTAGATGAGACTGGATCATGAATGATTCGCGCGAACATAGACGCATTTATGTAGATCGGGGCGCATTCACTTCAGAGACAAACGTAATCCACTGCCAGTTCAGGGGCTCAGATGTCGGGAGTAAATGGCGACTGCTATGTTCATTATTACATCCAACAACAGAACACCTCAATCGCTTAGGAGTCAGTCTTGTCTGCATCTGCTCCGGCGGTGAAACAATGGCGGACTGATGACAGCTCACTCAGGGCGGGTCTAAGGTAAGACACCAGTCCA